TCAGTCGGTGGAACCGGTCTCATACGTAATTCCCTTTGTCCATCGGTATGTTACTTGCCCGAGATTTGATCATCGGTATCTTCATACCTAGTTCAATATCGTTACTGAAAGTCTATTTACTCGTTACGTAATACATCACCATGTGACTAAGTTCTTAGTCATTTGCTTGCAAGCTTATAATGTGTATTACCGAGATGGCCCAGAGATACCTCTCCATTACTCGGAGTGACAAATCCTAATCTCGATCTATGCCAACTCAACAAACACCTTCGGAGACACCTATAGAGTATCTTTATGATCACCCAGTTACGTTGTGACGTTTGATAGCACACAAGGTATTCCTACGGTATCCAGGAGTTGCATAATCTCATAGTCGAAGGAATGTGTATTTGGCATGAAGAAAGCAATAGCAATAAATTGAATGATCATTATGCTAAGCTAACGGATGTGTCTTGTCCATCACATCATTCTCCTAATGTTGTGATCCCGTTATCAAATGACAACACATGTCTATGGTTAGGAAATCTTAACCATCTTTGCTCAACGAGCTAGTCTAGTAGAGGCTCACTAGGGACACGGTATTTGTTTGTATCCACACATGTATTTAAGTTTTCGATCAATACAATTCTATCATGAATAATAAAACTTTATCATGATTTAGGAAATATAATAATAACCATTTTATTATTGCCTCTAGGGCATATTTTCATCAGTTCCTCATTAATTATCTAGGATTATATCGGTTGTACAAGTTCCCATCGGTGTGATCGTCTTGTGCGCATGATGGTTTCTCAATTTTCTTTCCCCCTTTTCTTCTATATCTTTGTTTAGCATAATACAACATGGCCAAACTACCAGTACAAAACATAGGATAATACATCGTCAAATGAACATAGTAACATATATGAAACTCAGCTTTTTTGTTTGCACGAGAAAAGGAAGAACGATTCCGTTTCTTACTTGCACGCCTTCAAGTACCGCTCCCTAATTTATTTGGCCTACTGGTCAAGTATGTTAATGGTCAGAACATAATCAGTAAAACTGTATGTCGGAGGGGCTAGCTGGAAAGCGCAAGGAGTGGAATTTGAAGATCTTGAGCCCCCCCATACGTGTAGAGGGGGAATAGAAGAGTTTAGCCCTCCTATGAGTCACTTGGGTAAAAGGGATAGAAATATTATGGTCTGGAAAAGAGATTTGAGAGTCTCTGTGCGAGTACGTGTTGAAGAGTAAGGAGTGAAATTGCGTTCATCTTTCCTTCTGCTAGGGTAAAACCCAAGGAAGTTGCAAGGAGCACTAAGGATGTGTTTGGTTGCTCACATATAGACCAACCATGTCCGCGCATGATGAAATTGGGTTGTTTGGTTGTCTGCTTTCACTATTGGGTCTGCATCGCACAGACTTTAAAGCACCTCCCAGCTAGGCCCGCTAGGAACTCCCGAATTGACATTTTCCAAGGAGTCAGGCTCGAGGGATGCATGTGAGTGGGTCCAGTGATGAAGCCTCATCTTGTTAGATATGTGGGTGTAAGTGAAGTTGCAGATGGTTTGTTTGTTTAACTCCTAATCTCGTCCACCTATTAGTCCCTTCTAACCTATACAACGACGCTTTGATTCGGGGTAAGGTCTACACAAAAAGAAGCACTTCGATGTTATGGTTCCATTCAGGCAATCGGTTCGTAGTTTCATCCATTGTGAATGTTCAATTCCGTGTCAATGTTTGGATCTACTTTGTATAAATTATGTCAACTTTGTCGTGCACAATCGACCGTTTGAAAGTTCCTTTGCCCAGTAGCTTCATCTTGCAGTTCCACACAACTTTCGTGTTGCACGTTTTCTGTTTCATCGATCGCAGACAAGTAGATCTACATTTTCCTCGTAATTGTACATATGTGGTCTGGTTTAAGACACTCCTTAATCGTTCCTCTAGGCCTCTCTTCCGCATCCTGTTACACTGACGCCACCGTCAGCGTCATTCCTCTCGGTCTCCTCTCTCGTATCTTGCTGCACTGGCGTCATAGTCGATGCCGTACATCTCGGCCTCCTCTCCCGTGTCCTACTGCGCTTGCGCACACTGTATTTCTTCTCCTCTGTTCTCTGCCTCAGTGCCCTCCTCTACCTCACGCTAGCAACTAGTTCGTCGTTTTGCTGAGGGGATCGCTCGCCCGCGACTCCGTACTCGTCATGTCGGACGCAGCGCCGCTGCCCTTATGCATTCTCTCATGCGCCCTACTACATTGGCACCACTGTCGACATTGTTTCTCTCGGCATCCTCTCACACGCCATGTTGCACTGTCACCACTGTCGAAATAATTCCTCCCAGCCTCCTCACCCTCGTCCTGCTGCACTGGCGTCATCGCCGGCATTGTTCCTCTCGGCCTCCTTGCCCGCGTCATACTACACAAGCGCCACCGCCGGCGTTGTTCCTCCCGACCTCCTGCTCCATCCTACTACACTGGAGTCATCTCCGATGTTGTTCCTTCTCTCCCTTGTCCTACCACACTGATACTACCATATGGTGCACGCACTATCATTTCTCCTCCTTTGCCCTCTGACTCAGTGTCCTCCTATTTGTCCCTCTGCACAGACTTACTTTGTGGCAATGACGCTAGGAACTAGTTCGCGGCACCGCCGATGGATTGCTCCCTTGATGCAAGAAGCCTAGATGTGGGCAACTAAACAACATGCAAATGTTGGTTGTTTGCCTGTTTTTCCTCGGCCAAGCTCAACTAAAACACAGATGTAATACATGCAAAATCCGTGCAAGCAAGCAAACACTCCCTAAGCAATGGGGGGATGAGAGTGATTGCACCCACATATTGGACCAAACCATAGACAAAAGTCGTTTCGCTCCTGAGACATATTGTTTGAACAAAAGTTTGCTTTCCAACTGGAGAGGAAACATCTAACCAAATAGGAGAGGCCAAAAAAAAAGAAAGATAAACGACAACTAGCTACTTTGAAGGAAATGCATTTTTGACTCACCCCGCTATCTGCTTTCACTCCCTCCATTCCAAAATATAGTGCGTCCGTATTTTTCGAGGTCCAACTTTAACCATAAATTTAACCAATGAGACCGACTGCGGCGGGAGTAAAAATTATTTAATTAAAAACTTTTTTTGAATACGAATTCACTGATATAATTTGTACTCCCGTCGCAGTCGGTCTCGTTGATTAAATTTATGGTCAAAGTTGAAGCACGAGAATATAGAAATCGCTATATTTTGGAATGGAATGAGTATGTTTCAAGAAGCAAAGGACCAATGATGGACGGAATGGATTGCAAGAAACAAACCCAAATGTTTCGAGCTGCCGCCCGCGCTCCGCGCATGAAATTTTAGAGCCACATCAGCGATCCCGCCAATCCACCGGTCCAAGCTTTCGGCCACGTCACCAGTCCGCGGCATCCCTCCCCCGGATCGCCATCTCGACCGTCCACTCCATCCACATCCAACGGCAGGCAGATGCCTCCTCCAACCTCTCGTCCCCGTTAAAACGCCCCTCGCCCCTCCACGCAAATCACATCACCAGCAGCCACCACCGTTCCTCCGATTCCACCACATCCGCTCGCAGCTCGAGATCGTGAGCCATGTCCGGGCGCGGCAAGGGAGGCAAGGGGCTCGGCAAGGGCGGCGCCAAGCGCCACCGGAAGGTGCTGCGCGACAACATCCAGGGCATCACCAAGCCGGCGATCCGGCGGCTGGCGCGGAGGGGCGGCGTGAAGCGCATCTCGGGGCTCATCTACGAGGAGACCCGCGGCGTGCTCAAGATCTTCCTCGAGAACGTCATCCGCGACGCCGTCACCTACACCGAGCACGCCCGCCGCAAGACCGTCACCGCCATGGACGTCGTCTACGCGCTCAAGCGCCAGGGCCGCACCCTCTACGGCTTCGGCGGCTAGGCCGCCACCAGATCAGTAGCTAGACTGTCGTTGTTTGGTAGTACCAGCAGTGCTCGTGGTCCTCTTGTGTAATGGCAGCATCTCGCTGCTGTTAACCCTTGTTGTCTGGATGTACTACTAGGATGGAATGGAAATTGTAGCAGTTTGCCCTTGAATTCGTTACCTATTCTTTCGGCCTGTTGATGTTTGTTCGTGCGCGGGTCAGATATTGCCAGTGCGTTCTTCAGTTGTCTTGCTCTGTAAATTTCGGCCCCCAAATCCGTTTGTGCTGGCTTCGGTGTTTGGATCCTATTTTGTGTTGCCTCCAGTGTGTGGTGGATTCAAACCAAATCCCACTGTGTTTGGCTTCTGTGTTTGGTGGATAGAAATCAAAATCCTATTTTGTGTTGGTTTCAGTGTTTGGATTCAAACCAAATCCTATTTTGCGTTGCTTCAGTGTTTGGTGGATTCAAACCAAATCCTATTTGTGTTGGCTTCAGTGTTTGGTGTATTCAGGCTGAGTAAGCGCTCTTCTGCTGCTCCACCGTGATGTTAAACTTGTAGTGCTGGAATGTTTTTGAACTATCTGTGACGTCAAACTTGTGGAATGTGTGCCTCTGTGGGTCTGGTCTCTGGTGGAGAGCTGTTTGCTGCTTGCTGCTTTACTGAACAAGTGCATTTGGAGAACTGTGTGAAAACACGATCATTTGTTTCGTTGTTACTTGTACGTTATCAAGTTATTAGTATTGCTTGTGAAGAAGACCTAATTTCTATAGTGATTGGTGAAGGGTTGTTCATCCTACCCCGTAATTACTGTCGACTTCACTGGCGAGTGGTGAATTTTGTTTAAGTTTGTCTTCCTAATCGATACAGCAGAGGGCAATTTTTAGCAGCGGGCATGACAGTTTTTTTTGTGTGGCCAGAACAGGCAAATTTTGTGCAAATATAACATACTAAAAATTCGCAGCAATTTCAGAATACCAAAGGCGCAGAGCATTTATAGAAGCCTCGAACACATCTTTCAAAAATTTTGTGTTTTACATGGCAACTGGCAAGTGTCACTATACATCATGTTCCACACACACAAACATTCTGAATTCAGGCACATGCTGCATTTGGAATGGTTAAGCAAACTTGAAGTACAATATGAAGAGGATGGCGAAGACGAGGGTCGCAATGATGCCGCCGACGATCCACTTGTTCCTGTCCATCCTCTTGGACATGGAAGCCAGGATCTTCTTGCTTTTGCCGATGTAGTCGTCCACACCATGCAACTGTGTGAGCAAGAGCAGCAGGATTTCATCACGCGTCAGGTAAAAGAAGAGGTAATATATAGCTGAATGATGAGAAACGTCCTCTCAAGTCATAACTAGGAGGGTTAATCATACACGAGCTGTTTTTTTTTCCTTGACAAATCCAGGCAAACTTACACCAAACTGATTCCATAGAAAAGCAAAATATACATGATGCAGAAAAGCTAAAGTTCCACTAGCTCCGGGTAATTTTGCCTCGCAAATCAGAATGTCAAATATTTGTTTCATTTTGTAAATGGGAGACACCCATGGTATATGCTTCTTCACCGGAATAGCAAAGTGATCAAGTGGACAAATCTCTTTCTTGGTACTGGAAACTGCATATTGCCAGTGGGAGAAATGGATTTTATTTTGATGATTTGGCATCATTGAAGTTATTTTGCAACTCATGTCCAAAGAAGCAGGATGCTTGTGCTGTATCCAGATGTGACTATCTAGCATAAGACCATGGTCTAACTCCCGTACAAAAGTCTTGATAACTACTCCCTCCGTCCCATAATATAGGACGTTTTTTGACACTAGTGTAGTGTCAAAAAACGTCTTACATTATGGGACGGAGGGAGTATATTCTTACAACTGTCATGCCTAATACATACCCATTTTGGCAGCTATGGTACCTTTCACTCTTTCAGTATGAATACTTCATAAAAGGACTGACCAGTTTCCAATAAGCATATATGGTGCAAATGCATCAACATCAAAACAGAACTAACCGATGGGATTTGCTGTCTATGTGGTTTGCTAGCTAAGGTTGTTGCTGCTGATCAATATTTAAGGCCAGAAATGATCAATCCATAAATAATTGGACGAGAGAAGGTAAGAAGAACAAATTAGCTCCAACGACGGCTCACGGTCCTAAATAAATCAACTTGAGAGAACAAAGTACATACTGTTGTGTGAGCATGCAGCAGTGACTGTCGTTGATTATGAAGGTCCTGAAGAATTGACACGCCAATTTCTTCTGTCTCAAATACTGTTCTTTGGCTTTCTCTAATTCTGTCTGAAGACTGGTTTAACCTTTCTGATGTCATCATCAATCTTCCTCTCTGATCAGATGATGCCTGAGCCATGATACAATAATTGCAGAAGTACATCAGAAAGGAAATGGTGCCCTGATAGAAAAATTGCAAACAGGACAAATAAAAGGTGACAAAACACAGAAATACCAACACAGTTGTAGAAGTATCCAGTAATAAATGAACACGATAGTCTAGATTTCCTCTTAATATGTCCACTTAAGTAAGAATGAACAAAATTCTGATCTAATGAACAGATGGAAGATCATATATAGGTTTACTTGAAAATTTATGCAGTGAAGCTTTCTTGCAATGAAAATAACACATATTCAAGAGCAACACTATCAATTAATAATTGAAGTGATAAATGTGATGAAAGGGATGTGCTTCTGTTATTTTGCTCAAACTTTGCATGATAACACATAACGCATCCAAGACTGCTCAACTGGGGACATGAGGTTCGAAAAAGTACAACTGCAATCACTTACTGACAACAGAGTCCAAATGTGGTTCTGAGTTCAACCACAGCCTGGCTCCGTATTATCATAGTTATAAACTGATTACAGAAGGCATGTATCTAGACTTAACTACACTGGTAAATTCAAATTATAAACCTAACTGAAGTTCAACAAACATTGTTTGACATTATCGACTAAAACCATCACAATCCATAATAGTAGCAGTGCTCACTTCATGGATATCCATGCAGAACATTTGAAAAAAAAGGTATGGAACACTTCTTTAGACACCACAATACCGCACACTGTTTTACATATCACGTTTCAGAGGTCAGCGTTGCACTGTAACCCATCCATTTCACAATTGAAAGTCTTACAGCGTCAACCATGCTGATCCCAAAACCCACAATGTTTACGCCTTTGCTTTAAAATTCTGCTTTCCCAAGGAAAATTTCATCCCAGCTTCCCCGCACAGTCGGGTAAATCAAGTTAACCAACTAACCACACAGCATCATTCAATATCATAGCAGAACTAAAACTATCAGAAACACAGGAACTAACATTATCATTAACGCAAAACTACACCATCAAATGGGTCAACAACATCATCAAGTTTTCAAGTGAATGCCAAAAATGTGGAATGCACATGCTGACATCAACAGTATGTGCACAACTCAAATCCAACACAGGCACTTAAAAACAATGCAGGTGCAGAAGGGATTAAGAGGAACACAAAACCACATGGCATCGCAATATCAAGCAAACAGGTTTCACACAGACACGCTATTTTCTGATGGAGCACACGGACACACCACAGCACCAAAATCTGTGCGAAGTCCATGGTGGTCACATCTCACATATGAGCACTTAGAATGCCAGATAGCATGCCGGAGGTGCAATATACATAAGCTTTGGCGTAAGGCGGAAACACGAGTGCTGGAGAGCTCACCGCGAGTGTGTCGGACATGCCGGACTCGAGGAGCTCCTCCCGGGTGGCCTGCTGGGCATTAGGCGCGGAGAGCCTCTTGATCTCGTCCTTGACGCTGTTGAGATCAGACTTGTACTCCCTCAGTTTAGCCAGCAGCCCGGCCTTGACGCTCGGCTGCATGCTCCGCGCCTCCAAATCCATCCTCCTGATCTACGGGAAGCCAGCCAAGCAGAAATTGGAGGCACGGTTAGATAACAACAGTACAAATCATAAATCCATCCTCCTCATCTACGGGAAGCCAGCCAAACAGAAATCGGGCGCACAGCACAGCTACAACTGACAGCTGAGCACGGAAGGAAGGCTAACGAAACGGAAATTGCACAGAGCTCAGCCGGTTTTTACCAGCGATTCAGACTCCTGCACGTCGGCCTGGATCTCGGACAGCTTCTGCTTCTTCTTCTCTGGTGGTAAAGGGAACAAGAGAAGAGGATCGTCAGACCAAGGCATGGGAGCAACCGGGAACCTGGGGTTCTGGGCGAGAGAGAGGCGCGCGTACGTACCGCCGTCGAGGGCGGAGGCGGCGGCGCACTTGCGGGAGAGGGCGGCGGAGATCTCGCAGTACTGCCCCGCGTAGCCCTCGAAGACGTCGCTCATGGTCGCTCCCTCCCCGGTGAATCCGCCGGCGGTCGCGGCAGCCGGACCGGATCGAGGCCCGCGGAGCCTCCGGCGGAGCCGAGGCAGTCGATGGGTGGGTGGGTGGTCGGAGCGAGTTCGTTGGGGAGGGGGGGACGGCGGTCGAGTTGAGGCGGGTGGGGTGCCGTGTTGGGAACCAAACCAACCGGTGCGGGGCACGGGGGACGGGACGGAACGCTGACGAGTGATGGATGGATGTGTCCCTTGAGGCTGCTGGGTGGGCCCGCCAAATTTGAGAGTATTCTTCTCTTCCAGAAGTCTTGAGCGTTTGCACTAGGAATCGAATGATCGTTCTTATCTTCCCCTCTCCCTACCATAAAAAACGGATTGCGCGCACACCACCACATCACCGTCACAAAAAGAATTATACGAGAAAAGGTCTCACGTGCTAACACGTGAGACCCATCCTGATAAATGACACGTACCATTTACAAATCACAAAGCATCTATCTCATCCCTCACTTGAAATCAGGAAGGGGAGAGAAAAGTTAAATGCTTTATGATTTGTGAATGTCACGTGTCATCCATCAGGGTGGATCTCACCTGCTAGCCTGTGATTTGTAAATGGCACGTGTCATTCATTAGGATGGGTCTCACATACTAACCCGTGAGACCTGGTCTCATATAATTTTTTTTCATCACCATCACCGCCATTCTTTTCCCCCTCTTTATTACTCCCTCCGTTACAGGGGAATGCCCATGGCGCACTTTATTAACATCAAATCACCGAAGAAGAAATTTCTGTTCTTTAATAATCTTTAAATAGAATAGTTTATCCTCTAAATCCATATTAGAAAAGGTGAATGCGTGCTAACATGTGTGCAAAAATAAATAAAAAGTAAATGCAAACCATCCACTTGAACATGTGCGAACGTACTTAATTCGAGCTTTCAAAATTTTAAAAACCCACAACTTTCAAACCCCGCATCGAAAATAAGATATGTTTTCACTCGCGACTTGCTCTTCGAAACTAGATCCTGCATAAGATGTTTCGACAAAATTTTGTGTGTGCAGTTTAGCCTCCGTTTTGTACAACTGCCTTGCAGTCGATGTGCAACTAGCTGACAGTGGATGTGCAACTTTCCGCAGTTGTTACTGATGGCACCTCCACCCCCAAACTACCTCCTTCTAGTGAGATGTGCAAATTCGTGTGTTGCCCAGACCAACTGCCTAGTAGTTGATGTGTAACTTTCTCATTACCCGTGGTTGTGCTTTCATTATTTGTTGCATCAACTAATTTTCTAACAGTGGATGTCCAACTTCGGATACAGCCACGGTTAACTATCTACCAGTGATGTGCAACTTTCCCTCATACCCTGTGGATGTGTAATTTCCTTACTAGCACTTGGTTCAAACCACCCCTCTGGTGGGATGTGCAACTTTAGCGCCTCGTTTATATGCAACTTTTCACTACCCTCATGAATGTGAAATTTTCACCATCCAACTATCCCTGCCTATGAGATGTACAACTTCATATGTTGCTCCGGCCAACTGCCTAATAGACTTTGTGCAACTTTGTTTGTTGCCCCCACCAACTGAAACTACATATCCACAAGTAAGGAGGGGAAGGAGTTGCACATCAAGTAATAGGAAGTTGGCTCGAACAATAGACTAAGTTGCACATATCGCTAGTAGGGGAGGTGGGGGCAGGGTGTCAACTATAAAAAAACTACACATCCACGAGTAGAGACAAGGGTTGCACATTGACTATTAGATAGTTGATCGGGGTAGTAGTCTAGTTGCACATCAAGTTTTCATGGTCGCTAGGTTGTAATCTCATATGAAGTTAGCATGCGGTTTCAAAAACTGGTTTTGAAAAAAGTTGCATCATGCACTACTAAAATTGCATAATGCAGTACTAAAGTTACACACTATATAACAACAAAGTTGGCATTAAAATTTTTCATCGAAACATACCCATACGGGATCTAATTTCAAAGACCTTGCCGCAAAGAATCTAACGGTGAAGACGGATCTGAATTCCGACGCACGGTTTGAAGGATATAGTTTTTAAATTTTTTGAAAAGATGAAATAAATGCACGTGAAGCTGTTTATTCCAAACTGAACTAATCAGTAAACACATTTAATGCTAATAATCATATGCACTAGCAGACAAAAAAAACACATGCATGCGTGTGAAGCCCGTCCGCTCGTTTCCTCCAAAAAGTGCACGTGCACTTTGAAGATTTTAGGAAAAAAAATCACCTTTACATCAAAGATAATTTCGGAATAATAGAACTAGACAAATCGCCTTCCGAGGTAACTACAGTTTTAGGATCGCCAAGTTATGTGCCGCCCTATTTGCATTTTTTGGACAGTCACAAAAGCTCACTGCAACAATTCTTTGTGCCCTTCGGAAGCGGATTGCAAAGTATTGTTGTATATGGACTCCACACCTTCATGATGCCATTGCATGCTTAGATATGTTCCAAAAAGACTGACTCCATCGAGACTCCAGAGCACCCTAACTTCTCCAAAAATATAAGGCCTTTCTTGCATAGTTGTAGCTTCAACCGTTGTAGCATCAAACAAATCATTAAGAATGCAAGAACATCCAACAAAGGGCCTCTCGTCATAACTTTGAAGGATCGCTGTCGATGAATCTGTTTCATCCATGAGTTGGTCTTGTCCATACTATTTTTATGTGACTGTGAGACTGTGAGACTCACACTGATGCATCACAGCTGAATGTTACTGTATTAATGGTGAAAGTTGTTCTTATAGTTGGTGCCACTGAATTACCTTTAACAATCTCCCAACATTGCCAGATGTACCAAGCACCAACCATCATTGTTTCTGCAAGTCCCAAGTGGCCTAGGATGGGTTGATGATGTATTTTGTTTCGTAATATCTCTTCAAGAACCACACTTCCCAACCGATCAACCAACATTGCTTCCCTAACTATATCAGGCAGACATAACGCGCTACTTCCTTATATGTGTTGACGCCTTATTAGTCCGAGTGGGGAGAGAGGCAGAGGACGGTCGTCGGTCACCGGGAGGTCAGATCAAATCGGTGCAAACTCACGGCGACGCCGGAGGACTGGAAAACCCTAAGGGGGGGGGTCCTTTTTCTTAGAGCTGGTTTTGATACTTTACCGCTGAGGAACAATGCTACTAATCATTCAAAAGGCGTTGCAATTAGTTGCAAAGAAGAAAATATTTCGGATGAAGGAATGGCAACAACCTTACTTTCGTGATGGTAACACATCTTTTAACCGAATGTATTCCATGACAAATGGCTATATGTCGGGATGGAATGTTTCCCGTGGTGATATGCTATCACAACCAAATGCTTTTCCCGTCACTCCCACCCTTGCTTAGACACCTGGCTTTATGTTGTTTTTCGTCACTGATAACAGGATGTTTCATGTGTTCTCGTATGTATACTTTCCCACCCATTGTATCTCACGGAGTTAGAGCATCTCCAGCCATTGGCAACCCCAAAAACATCACCGAACCAAAAAAGTTGATGTCTTGAGGGTCATCCGGCAAAATAAAGAGGACATCTTCCCAGTCACACCTCATCCCAAGCAAAAGTTTGTGAGGAGAATGATTAAGTGAGCCAAGAAAAAGGACATGTGGTGAGACACCATTCGGCGAAACTTTCGCTGGCGCCCCCAAGAGACCCCAGCGCGCCGGGTTTCGCCTGAGTTTGCCGGTGCTATTTTGACGTCCTGGGAGCGTGGCTTGGCCGTTTTTCGGCGAAAAGTGTCGCCCAAGCCTAAAAAGGTGTTCTGGGGGGCGTCCTGGGGAGGCTAGTGGAGATGCTCTCACGGTGCATATTCTTTCCCACCCATTGTATCTCACAGTACATAATATGCGATGGACAAATATCACTTCACAGGAAAAATATTTTCTCGTTGAAATCCAAATGTCACTATACAAATTTCATCTCGCGGGAACAAATTATATCATTGTTGAAGATCCTAATGTCACTAGCCAAAAAGATCTTGCTTGGGGAAAGACCAGCTGCGCATTTCGGGATGAGATACCCAAGGGTTTATTATTAGACTTCCTTTGGTTTGTAGGAGTACGAATTTTATAGGATAGGATTTTCAGAGGAAAATTTCCTTTGAAGCCCCCCCCCCCCTTTGTAGGATAGGAACCAACTCTTCACATTTGAAAGGAAAAACCTGCGCTCAAATGGAAAATTTTCAATCATATGCATCAAATGACATCTCTTTTCTTATAGGAATATGTTAGAGTTGTGTCGAATATTATTGTACAAGGTAGGTTACAGTTGGACTTGGTTTTGGACTGTGTGTAGACAGGGTAGGAGTTGTGTCCTAATAGGACATCTGTATCCTAGGCCTCTCATATATAGCGGGGCTAGACACACGATGTAACCTATGCCAACATAATAGCACGGGCACGCGGGGGAGCCGGCGGCGTGTGCCGGCGCCCGGGCGCGCGGGGTGCGGTATTGTGACGGTGACACGGGGAGGAGCGCCCGTAGTCATGCCCCGTGGATGTAGCCATATCGGTGAACCTCGTTAACAAATCTCGGTGTCATGCTTGTGTGATTGCTTGGTCCTCGGTAGATCAACGGAGCGCCTCGGATTTATTCTAACAAGTGGTATCATGAGCAAGGTTCGAAGAGACTGCGTTGTGGATCTAGAGGAGGCCGTGGGGAAGTCCGACGATGGGCGGGGTGATTAGACGGCAGTGGAGGTTGTCGTTAGGAACGATCTCGCGCCTAGATAAAGCTGATATTTGATCGGCTCGATCGAAAGGTGTTGGCGTGTATGGTAACCACGGCAGAGTTAAAGCAATCGAAGCTAGGCGTGCTGGAGCTGGCAAGATTGGAAGCGTGTAACGACGGCGGCGCTGGAACGTGCAGTTGCGGGAGTCTTCAGTGTTTGGCGACAGATCGGGTCGGGTCCGATCCAAAGCAGGAAGCATCGGCGGCTTGGGCACGTAGCGCAGGGAGCAAGCGCTGCAGAGGCAGCGGCCAGGCG